TTCATTTGTTTTTAGGTCTTGAAAGGGAGTTCTTTAACATTAAAACAAGGAACTGAAAGCAATGTATTTTGAAAAAATCTTTACCCTGCTTTAATGTTTGTAGCATTTTTATTGATCACCTCAAGGATTTCAAGCTTATGACTGTTTGATTTTGAAAAATTTAATTTGTTCTATTAAAAAATAAAGTTTTTTTAGCACTTGAAATGACTGTTCACCAAGAAAACATTATATTAATAAACATTATATTACTACTTTTCTGTTTGAGAGCGTGAAAGAAGATTCTTAAGCATGTTATTTCATTGAAAATAGCTACTGAATATAACTTGCTCCAGATCTGATCTGGACTATTTATTGACAACCCAGTTTCCCTGGCAAGAGGCAATAAAATATGTATTGTAATAGATTAATTGAGGGTAATCTTTAATTTATCATGTTTCTCTGCAAAGTACAACATAGTTTTTTAAGTCATTTTTTATTTTGAGTGATTAGATGGTTTAATATTATAAAATGAAAGTATCAAGAAGTTAATTAAATAGAGTTGAATAGTAGTGTAGAGAGGTGTGAGAGGGCTGGAATTTATGTTTCTAGCTTTTGTGTCTTATGGTAAGCCAGGATTTCTCCAAAAGAGGTGTTTTGTTTTGTTTTTGTTTTTATTTTGGTTTTTGGTAGAACAGCTAGCTTCTCAAACTAGCCATTTGTTGTCTGGAACAACTTCCAGATGAATGAATACTTAAGGTAAGAAAGTGATCTGGAGTAGTGACAAACTAGTGTTCCAGAGAAGAAACGAAACATAAAAAGTAAACTTTAGCCACAGTTACCAAGTAGGTCTTTATTTAAGAGGGAGATTACATTTTTTCCTTTAAATTATAATTAACTATAATATATTTCAACTGTTTTAGTTTTATCCCTCTTTTATTATAATCAGTTTAATATTGCAGTAGAATGATCTGGTATGGTGAGTTATGTTTCCCAGTCTTCCTTTTGAATAGGTAAATTTTGCTGTCTATTGAAGTGCTATTGAATAGGTAAATTTTGCTGTCTGTTATTATAGTATGTAATCTTAGATTGTAATTTAAAAACTATTATTTGTGTGTTTATATTTATTTACATGCATTCTATGAAGAGTTGAAAAGATTTTAGACTTTGGAATTGGGCTTTATACCTTTTTGTTTAGAGCCTTTGGGCATGATATTAATTTCTCTGAACCTTGATTTTCTAATCTTTGCAATAATTAATAATGACCATTGTGTAGATTTATTTTAAGGAGTAAATGAATTAACCTTTGTGATGTCTTGCACACAGTAAGTATGCAATAAAAGTCAACTCTTTCTTCTTTGGTAAGATCTTTTTAGAGAGTTACTTCCAGATTTGGTAATGCTATATTGAAATAATTTTCTTCAGGTTTTCTAATAGTCTCCAAGGAAAAGTAAGAGATATCAAAGAGAATTGTGTGAACTTTAGACTAGTGAAGAGAAAAGGAATTTACTTGAGACAGAAGAAGGGGAAAAGTTCGCCAAGCAATTTTTTTTTAATGTTTGCTTGACTACTGTACAAGATTGGTGTGACTTGTTGGGTGCCATTATGTACTAGGAATATGCTTTATGGAGGTAGGAGTTTTATGTACAGTTTGTTGTAATGTAAGGAACTTAGTAAGATTAAGATGACTCAAAGGAAATGTCAACCATGTGGCTAGGAAAGTCCCTCCACCCCCTGCTCTTTTTTTCCATTCTAAGCATTTATTATATACTGAGCATCTCTGATGTTATGCTATTAACTCTCATTATTCAAGAGAGGATTAATTGTATCTAGTGTAAAATCATCATAATTTCTAATATTTTAAGTTTGGATTACTTAATGTTTAAATTTTGGAAGTAATTTCCTCTGCATACTTGATTATAAATCCTTTGTGCATATTTAGCTCTCTTTGTCCTTGTTAAAACAAGCTAATGGTCAGTGTACAAAAGCACTGCTTGTAGAAACGTGAATGTGTCTAGTGACCAGTGAAGAAGAGACATTTCAGGGGTAACAAAGTATGTGAAAATGGTTTATATTGGTAATAACAATATGTTACGAAGTTTTTCCAAAGTTTAGAAAAGAATTCCACATATCTAGTTGTTTTGTGACCTTTCTTCCGGTAATAATAGAGTTCAATGCAAAAAAATTGGGAAAACAAAAAAGTACAAAGGCAAAAACCAAAACCAAAAATCACGATCATCCTAATCCTGCCAACCAAAGAAAATCACTTTTAACTTTCTGATGTATGTCAGTGTTTTTTCTTTTCATCTGTGTGTGTGTGTTTACAAAATGATTTTACAAAAATGGTATAATGTTTGAGAGTTTGCTTTTTTTACTTGAAAATTCCTGACAATATTTTCATAGGACAGTTGTGTTTGATAGAAGAGAAACTGTGAAGCTCTTGATGGGTAGAGTATTTGTAAGTTTTTCAGGTTAGTTAAGAGTGGGGATAGAAGGATTAGTTGAAGAAACAATTAGAGAATTTAATTTTACCTTGCAGTGTTCAGAATGACTTTAAAGATCAGGAATGGGGTCATCCATCAGATTATTTCCTGTGATTACTGCCTTAGGAGCTCTTAGAAGAATTTCCCCCAGTGGATTGTGATTTCTTTTTCAGAATAGTCACAGAAGACTTAAGGGGAAAGAGGAGATGGAGACTTTTCTAAGATGAACATAGGTGGGATCAGCCAGACACACACAGTTCGAGTAAATATATTGGTTCTAACAGTGGTGGGACCCTAGTATGCCACAATGTGGAAGGAACCTCAGGCCCTATCCAACTCTTAAACACCAGTTTTGCAGATGAGGAACTTGCTTGACTTATCAAAAGTCGTGTAACTAGCTAGTATGGGACACTTTAGTAATATGGCAATTGGGCACTATTAAAAAGTATGAAATTTATTACTTTTCTAATTCTAATTTTGCTTTGTATTTTTCATGTCTTGAGTTTTCTTATCTCCCTCAGTTTTCTACCCATCTCCATATACTCCCATCTTTACTTTTTTCTCTCTCTCCTCTTCAGTTAGCCATTATGTGGAATTAATATTTTAAAATCATTGTTTATATTGATTAATTTTATCTTCTCTGTTTAAGGTTTTTAAAAAGGATCATTTAACTTTTATGTGCCTTTCACAAAATGGAATAAAATTTAATTACTGTGTTTTACTTCTGTATAATACTAAATTTATGATTAATATTTTATTATCATCTTATCATTACTATTAATAGGAGCCCCACAACATTTTATCTGAAAAAAGAAAAGATTTCCAGCTCTTGTAATGGGAAACCAGTATTGGCCAGAGTAGGCTGGATGGGGCAAGAATTGTCAGAAAAGCCCATGGGGGAGTAGGTGATATGATAGAAACACTAAAATAAGTTGTGAATCCACTTGTTCCCCTTACTTTAACAATTAAAACATAAATGCTAATTTGTGAGTGCTTATTTAAGAGGAGAGAACTTTCTTTTTGCAAGAATTTTTAAAAGTCCCATGGGCAAAGAAAAAAAGAAACTAGATGAGTTTATGGGATAGAGGTTTTCAGTTAAAGCCATCTGGAAAGACTTGAAAGCTGAAGGGTGTGGTTACCACTGAGTTTCATAATTACCCAGAAAAGAAAGAGATTAGGGAGGTTTTTGTAAATTACGCAGTCTCTGGCAAGTATACAAGTCACAGAGAACAGACAGTTTTACTTATAAATTCTTTGGAAAAGTATTTGCTTTCAGTGACTAAATGAAGCAAAAGGGAATCCTTTATTCAGATTGAAATTAGAGTCAAATGACAAAATTTATAGTAAGGGTAACTCTATAAATTATAATCTGTTTGGGTTCATGTCAGAGAAAACCCTAGTTTAAAAAGTAAGGAAATGTTATTTTATCATATAACAAGAAGTCCAGAGATAAGGTAAATTTCATGGTTAGTCAATTCAGTGACCCACTTTCTTAATCTCTCTCTGCCCTGTCATCATTATAGAGTTGATTTCATTATCAGACCTCTACAAATGGGCTATAGCAGGGATGTACATTTGCATACAGATTCTGAACATTTCCAGAGGAACAAAAGTACATTCTTCTTCTCTGTAGAGTCATTTAAAAGTAGGGAAACATTTCCTTGAAGGCCCCCCCAACCCCCCCGCCAGAGATCCTCATGTTTCATTAGCCAGAATTGTGTTTCATACCATTCTTAAACTAATCTTTGTTGAGGGGCACAGGATTAGGACTTGATAATAATTTGGGGTAGAATGAATGTATGTGGGGAGTTCAGTCCCCATGACCATAGTAGTACCTAGTGTAACAACTAGTTACTGTACTGTAACAACTCCTCTTAAGAAGGAGATTTAGAATTTATTAATGAAGTAAGTAAAGCATAGTGAAACATGAGTCCCAGCCCCACCACTCAAGAGCTGTGTGATTTGGGTTAAATTCATTAATTTCTCTAAATATGCATTTCCACATCTGTAAAATGAAGATGATAATGCCCAATTCATAAGGCTGTTTTTTAGAATTCAATCAGATAAGATAGCACAGATTCTAACATTTAGTATTCAATAAATATACTATTACTATTACTGGTACTTTTATCTCTATGTAGTTTTGTACTTAAAGAAAACTCTAAAAATGGTATTTTCACTTTAAAGGATTAGTTGGGTTTTTTCCTGAAGATACAAGGGCCTAGGCCAAAGTTGTTGGAGCTCTCATTTCCTTCTCTAGCTTTTTTGTATAGTAGTACAAAAATGGGGGAAACTTAATAAGTTTAGTATGAGCTGCCACTAAAACAATTCGTTTACATGGTTGTGTCAACTAATACTTTGCTATTTATATTTGAGGTAGCATAAAAACTGAACTGACACATATTTTATGAAAATGTGCTATTGTATTAGTGACATATTAGTAATTTTCTTTAATGTAGGCTTCTACATTTTGGTCTTTTTTGCTGTAATAAAAAGTGTAAGCTGTTAAGGTGTAATTCTCTCTTTCTTTGATATTTGCAGATGGCTTGTTCAATCAGTATATCAGTCAACAGGAATATAAGCCACGATGGAGTCAAATCATTCCGAAAAGTACCAAAGGTAAGTCCTACCTTCTAGGTTGTGGGTGCTTTTCCTTTAATGTCCCAGTTTCATGTATCCGAAGGTAGCTCAAATTTCACTGTACCCTATTAACGAAAGGCAGGTGTTTAGAACAAGACATAGGTTCCTCAACTAGATGGCAGAGGAAGCTTATTATATTAAATTTTTCTTTTAAACCTTTTGTTTTATTGCTATAACAGAAGGTTGGGCATTTTTTACACAGAATACCATCATAAACTGCTTTTATAGAGACACTATAAAATTATAGGCTATTGTGTTGTAATCCCAAACGTGTCCCTGAAAAACCTTAAGTTCTGCAGAATTGCTCACAAAAGCTAATAGGGCTTATGAGAGAAGTAGAAGTGGGACATACCATTCTAAATCTGTGGAACTTTATAATCAGATACTAATAATAAAAACTAATGATAAAAACTAATAATATAACCAGATACTAATAATAAAAAATAACAATTCTAATAAAAATAAATACTAGTACAGTTAAATATAGGCATTTATATTGAGCATCACAGTGATTTTGGAGCTTTAAACCCTGGGGCTCATGCTTCTTTCTTTGAGCTGTAGACCCTCAAGCTGAAGACCTCCTCCTGTGGTCTTCATACATTGCTAAAGCCTTCATTTTAAGTGTGAGAAAGCTTTCCTCAAATAGTGTTAAACATTAATATACTGGAGAAAATTGCTTATGAACCTCCATGATTTCTGAGTTATATAAGCATCATTTCCCTGCTTTATCAGTCATATATGAGGTAATTTTCTTCAGAAGTGCATGTTGTAGCAGACAATTATATTTGAAAACTAATGGATTAAATATATAAAATGCAAACCTACTGACAGTCTGTTCTTTTTTTTAATGATCAAATATCTGTCTTTTTTATTTATTTATTTTAAATTTTTATTTTACTTATTTATTTTTGGCTGCGTTGGGTCTTGCTGCACGCGGGCTTTCTCTAGTTACGGCAAGTGGGGGCTTCTCTTTGTTGCAGTGCGCGGGCTTCTCATTGCGGTGGCTTCTCTCTTTGTGCAGCATGGGCTCTGGTGTGCGGGCTTCAGTAGTTGCGGCGCATGGGCTCAGTAGTTGTGGCTTGCGGGCTCTAGAGCGCAGCAGCCTCAGCAGTTGTGGCACACGGGCTTAGTTGCTCTGCGGCATGTGGGATCTTCCCAGACCAGGGCTTGAACCCGTGTTGCCCGCATTGGCAGCTGGATTCTTAACCACTGCACCACCAGGGAAGTCCCTGTTTTTTAAATTTATTTATTTTTTTTGTCTGCATTGGGTCTTCATTGCTGCACGTGGGCTTTCTCTAGTTGCAGTGAGCAGGGGCTACTCTTCGTTGCAGTGCACGGGCTTCTCATTGGGGTAGCTTCTCTTGTTGCAGAGCGTGGGCTCTAGGCGCTCAGGCTTCAGTAGTTGCAGCATGTGGGCCCTAGAGCACGCGGGCTTCAGTAGTTGTGGCGTACGGGCTTAGTTGCTCCGCGGCATGTGGGATCTTCCCAGACCAGGGATTGAACCCGTGTCCCCTGCATTGGCAGGCGGATTCTTAACCACTGTGCTACCAGGGAATTCCCTCTTAATCTGTTCTTGAAAGTGGTAATACTGACTTTACTAATTGGGGGAAGAAGGAAAAAAAGGGAGAAACTTCAACAATAATGAGCTATAAATTCTAAACCTAGCTATTAAAAGGAGAAAGAATTTGCAGGAAACTTCTGAATGATTAGTGCTTGAATGCGGCTTCAGTTTTGCATCTTATTTATAGTATACAAGAACTGACATTTCGGTCTTTTTCATAATACCCCTGTGGAATTAGTAAAACTTTGGATGTTCCCAGCACTTCCCTGGCAGTCCAGTGGTTAAGATTCTGGGTTCCCAGTGCATGGGGCATGGATTTGATCCCTGGCTGGGGAACTAAGATCCCGCATGCCACATGGCGTGGCCAAAAAATACATAAATAAAAAATAAAAATAAAAATGCCCTTTACCTAAAAAACACAATTAAAAAAAAAGTTGGATGTTCCCTATTTTACATAGGAGAAAGCTGATACAGGGCAAGTTATTACCTAAAGTAATGTATTTCAGTTAATGGGAGAGTTACAAAGAAAACCTCAGGTTTTCTGGTTTACATCAAGTAAGGCATTAGAATCCTGTAACCTTTTGAACCATTGAAATTAAGTTATATCTTCATATATAAAAGATCTGATATAAAATAAGATAAATATAAGTTAAACAATAATTTCTCCTTCAGAGGTTTAAAATTTTCACTGATTATATTTAAACCTGCCCATTAAGCTTTGTGATGTAAATAAGAATCAAAGGGAAGCAAATCTTATATTTTGTCAGACAGTACTACTCAAATAAAATAGTTGGTAGATTATGTGGGAGATGATTTTTGAAATATTGGCGCAAAATTAATACAGTGATGAAATTATCATTAATGTAAAACTTGATAGCATCTTAGTTTTCAGTAGCTGGTTTTATGAACTTTAAAACTGCTCATTATACTAATAAACCATGCCTGGAGTTATAGACCTGTGATCTAGTTCTGTGATTGTTTTCCATCTTCATTTTGTCACTTCACTAGTTTAGAGATTTTACGTTTTTGTGGAATATCCTGTGTCTTTGCTGATTTATGGCATTGGTCCTAAATAAGTTGAAAGTAGCTTCCAGTTGCATTAAGAGCCTGAAAGCAATTAGAAAAAAAGAGCAAGATAATTATTATAAACTTAGTTATGTCATATTATGTCTCTTACGAGTCCTCTTATTCTTAATATTGAAAGAATAAGTGTGTGTTATTTTCACTACTCATTACAGACTTATGAATGAAGTTACTCTGGATATGCAGTTGTTCTGTGGTATTTCTTTAAAGAAAATATTGTTTCTGCTTCAGGTGATGGAGAAGATAACCGACCAGGAATGAGAGGAGGCCATCAGATGGTTATTGATGTTCAAACAGGTGAGGACTACTTGGAATGGAAAGCAAATTCTTTAAAAAAATTATACATTTAAATATCAGGTACTCATAAATGTACTTCTTTCCATTCTTTACCAAGTTAAATGTCATTGGCCATAACCAAGTAGCAAAGAAAATAGGCATTATCTACAGGTAATAACCTAAACTAGGCAATGGCACGTCAGGGAGGGGAGGCTGCTGCACAAATGAAATTAGATAACCTAAAAGAAATGTAATGTGCAGCCCTTTAGAGGTGTGTGTGTGTGTGTGTGTGTGTGTGTGTGTGTGTGTGTGTGTGTGTAGTTTTATATGTATTTGATTTCCATAGTATACTGTGGAGTATTTCTGGATTTTTAGTGCATTTATATTTTAATGCCGTAATATGGGAATTGTTGCAGTAAAAGAGAATTAAGATATATTTTAGAGGGAGAGAATATAAAATTAAGTAGCCTAAGTGTTGGTAGATGCATAAATTGCTAAACACCATCCACAAGCCTATAAATAATTTGTTTTAGTTAGTCTTCTTTTTAATTTTATTCTGAAACTTGATACTGAAAATTTTGCTTAGGTTTCTACAGCCTAGAACAGCTTAAATACCATTATATTTAGAGGTTAATGCTAAAATTATAATAGGTTTCAAACTACCATCTTGAAAAGCAAATAATGCCAAGAATTTTGTATAATTTTATTATTTGGTTTTAGAAAACTTTACTACATACAATGCCAGTATCCACCCAAATAATATTTTACTTTTTCCAAGTGTAATAAAAACTGTGTTCTATTATTGTATTATGCTGACAATAGTGCTTCAGGAATAAGGTTTTTTTGACTCATTTTAATTACTAAGATTATTGCAATGCAGATAATAATCATCTAGGCATTAATGTATTTTCACAAATGTTTTGTAAGTAAAAGGAGGAATTATTATATTTACAATTAACTGCTAAATTTGTGTAGTAACCTGTGAGTTTGTTTGGGAGTATTATTAGGGTCTATTTGGAAAAGATTCATTTTGAGGCATAGGAATTTGCTTTCCTTATCTTGGACCCTCTTCCCAGACCCCTTCCTTCCCACAAAAATAGGCTTGACTCAGCTGTAGAGTCCTAAACATCTTTTTTTCTACCTGAGAGTTCAGTAAATACACACATGCTTATTTCTCAAAGAACCAGATCTATACAGAAATTGGTTTTTTTAATCCAAAATTAAATACGGTATAAAAAAAGAGTTGAAAACTTGTGTTTAGATTGTCTACAGTAGCTTTTCTCCTCTTTTGAACATACAGTGGAATTTATAATGCTGTTCTTCTTTTTCTCAGTCATGATGAAAATACTATTAAATTCTTTTTTTTTAATTGCTAATAAAATACTAAAAAAGAGTGTTGAAAAACTACTTAAATTTTCTAGACAAAATGCTGTTTTCCTTAAATGCAAAAGTAATGTGGTTTACTTTAACATTTAAAGTTCACCTTATCAGGGAGCAGAAGGAATTTTCATAGTGCTTACTGTGTTGCTTATTATGGAATATGGACTGTATAAAATAGGTAAAATAAATGTGTAAGAAAAGAGAAAGTTTTTCTCTTTTTTTGTAATCCATGACATTTGAGGATGGAAAATGAGAAGATTCAAATGATAGGCAAATATCCTGACAGAACTTTGTGTGAGCAGAGTCATTGACGATTAAATGCTGACTTTTCAGGTCAGTGATCCTTGAAGTAAAATACAGCATGTAGTGATAAAGGTCCACATATTTTCCTGTAATATCTTGGTTTTATGCATTAAGGGCAGGGTTTCAGCAGACTCAAGGTCCTTATCCCCATTCCCTTTAAAAAAATATTTCAAGGAGAGGAAAAGGGTTGTTTCAGTATTTACTTGGTTTGCTTTAGAAACAATAATTATAAGAAAGCAGTGACTTAAAGTAAGCCATTGTAAATAAGTGAGAATGACTATAGGCATGGGATATATTCCAGATGGAACCATTAAAGGCATAATCTCTCATAGTTTCTGAGGCTTTATTATAGGTTGACAAAGGTCTACAATGAAAAATTGATCAGTATCCATACTTCTGTATGAGCACTAGTTGATAAAAATGTAATAAAAATACTTTGTGAATATATTTTTAAGCAAATATTTCTACTATAGGAAATTTAGGGACTTAGCCATCAGTAGAGGGATTTTTATTTAGAGCCATTTTGTATCTGTTTCAGTGCTTTTTTTCCACCCCCCCAAACTTTCTGAATGCTGGGTCAAGCTTTATTTAGGTCCATGTGTGATGATTAAATGAGACTTTGAACCTTTAACAGGAACCAAAAATTTAAAGTCTGGTAAAACTAAATAATCATGATAGTTAATATAAAGTTGTCCATAGCTCAAGTGAGCTTGATGGTCAATATGTTACCATTACCACTTATAGTGTGGAAACAGTACTATGTGAACGATGAAGTTGAAGGGGTTTAACCACATTCAGATGATCCTTTATATGAGTAATAGGGAGTATGAGTTATAGGGATGGTGTGTAAAACATATTGGTATGGAATTCTTTATACATATATATAAATGAACTGGTGATGCAATTAGGGTTGGGATCCAGATTGAGATAGAGGAGAAATGCAGCTTCTGAGGATTCACGTGTCTGGAAGCAGAGAGAAATGTAAGGAAAGATGCCCTAGGACTCAACCAAGTCAGAAAAAGCTTTGAACTTTCATAAGACTCTAGAATAGTGGTTTAAGTTAAGTTTAAACAGGTGTCTGGTTGTGAGGGTGGGTAATCCAGGAATCTGCTATATCAAGAGAAAACAAAAGGAATTTTTAAAATGCCATTCAAAAGTCTAGTAACTGCCATACCCTGGCATTCCGACTCTTTCGTTTCAGCTAACCATTGCTGTCTATATATTCCTTTCTATCACCATGCTCTATCCTTTTAGTATTTCCTTGTTTTCTTAGATGAGGCTTCATGAATGGGCTTTAAGGAGGCCCATGATACTCTTGAAATGGTATGTAATATTTTTGTCTGCCTTTGTGGAGTTTATTGGGAAGATTCATTACCTATATATTTTTAAAGGGTTAAATATTTCTATTGAGTTTTGACATTACATGGTAAGTAAATACTGCTGGTATTCATATAAAATTTCAAATGAAATTCCTTGCTCTGTGTAAGTGGTATTCATTGTTGAAATAATAGTGTTTCCAAAGTAAACTCTTGCCCACCTTTCCTCTACTCTTGTTTTTTTTCCAGATTATTTGTTGCTAGATATAAGGTGGGTGAGGAAGAGAGTAAAGGTGATAAAGTCAGAGAGGTAGTGAGGGGCAGTTGTGTTGAGTTCTTTTGTAAGAACTTTAACCTTTACTCATAGTGAGATGATTAAAGGAAAATATTGTTGGGTTTTGAGAAATGTTACTGACTTTTCATTTTAACAAAACAAATTGGGTGAAGGGCAGAAGCAGAGTGACCTTTAAGGAGGCAGTTCCTTACCAGAGAAGTGATGATAGCATTGGCTTTTACTAGAGTGGTGATCACAGTGTTGAGAATTGGTCAGATTTGGGATGTATTTTTGAAGTTGTCACATACAGCTGACAGGATTTACTGATGGATTGGATATGAGGTGTGAGTGAAACGAGTAATGAATGACTCAAGGTTTTGACCTGAGTAGTTGGGAAAATAGCATAGCCATTCCCTAAGATGGGTAAAACAAGTGGATTAAATATGGTGGGTTGTTCAGCAACTTGTTTTTAGACAGGTTGAGATGCCAGTTAGACATTCAAGTATATAGATACGTCAAGTAAGCCTTTAGATATATTGTTTGGGGTTCAGGAAGACAGGTCCAGGCAGAATAATCATTTCCCTTTCTGTATTTACATAGCACTTTGTTCATACTATTATTTTTACTATAATGATTTCCAAATTGTTTTAGAGTTGCTTGTGTAGGTGTTATGTATCCCATTCCTCTCTATTCAGCTTTCTCCTTTCTACCTCCCATCCGCAATATTCTTATTGACTGGGGAAAGACAAGAATCTTGCATTATCTATTTTTATGGCCACAAAGCCTGGTATGGAGTGTGTACTGAATATTTGTTGAACTGAATCAAAATTTTAAAATCCATTTTCCTTCGAGTTGAAAGAAAAGTATTTACTTGGAAACTACACTCTGATATTGCTTTAAACCTTGATGAGTGGATTGTGTCATGATGTCATTTGTTGTAATATGCTAATATTTTTCTGAGGTGAATTTATATTATTGGTTATACTCTAATATATTTAAATTTTCTGGTGATTCTGTTTGTTCTTTTCTAGTATATAGACTATATTTCCTTAAAGCTGTAGTTCTGGGCTTCCCTGGTGGCGCAGTGGTTGAGAGCCCGCCTGCCGATGCAGGGGACACGGGTTCGGGCCCCGGTCCGGGAAGATCCCACATGCCGTGGAGTGGCTGGGCCCGTGAGCCATGGCCACTGAGCCTGCTCATCTGGAGCCTGTGCTCCACAACGGGAGAGGCCACAACAGTGAGAGGCCCCCACAGTGAGAGGCCCATGTACCGCAAAAAAAAAAAAAAAAAAAAAGCTGTAGTTCTTATTACCTTGGGATCTAGGTAGAAAAATTAAAGGTTACGTAGACTTTGCATTTTTTTAGGGTAACAGTTGGTGCTTTCTGAATTTAATTTGGGTGTAGGAGCAGAATCTGGGATATCTTTGGGATTTTTTTCTCTAGAAATTCTACTTCTATTGTAAAATTATTAATAGCATAATTTACCAAGGTGGTTTCATATACTTTTATTTCATCATTTATGTACCAGAGTCTTATAACTGCTATCATCAGGTTGATTTTAATCATCTTCAAAGTTGTATTTCTTGTTAAGTCTCTGAAAGAACCTTTTCTAGTCCAGGCTTACTGATATAACAATTAAATATAGTGGTTGGAGGTTGAGTGTGTGGGAAGGAAGTGTGTGTGTGTGAGAGAGAGAGAGAGAGACATATCTGGATTTCAATCCTGACTTTACCACGGACTTTTTGTTTG